TGTCAAAAAAAAAAAAAAAACAAGAGGGATATTTGGGATCTAGAGAAAAAGAAGTACTGAAAACAGAAACGTGGCTAAATATAAAACTTTTTTTCTTAATTCTGAATTTCTTTAACATAACTGATTGACCGGTCAAAACAAAAATAAAAACAAAATACTGTGTAATTCTTAACATGGAGAAGTAAAATGCATTATTTCCATAGCACAAAGAATAAGATAAGAGCAAGGAAAATCAAAAAATATTGTTATAAGTAGTGAGGCCAGGCATGGTGGCTCACACCTGTAATCCCAGCGCTTTGGGAGGCCATGGCCAGTGGATCACTTGAGATCAGGAGTTCAAGACCAGCCTGGCCAACATGGTAAAACCCCATCTCTACTAAATACACAAAAATTAGCCAGGTGTGGCTGGGCATGGTGGCTTACGCCTATAATCCCAGCATTTTGGGAGGCGGGCGGATCACGAGGTCAGGAGATCGAGACCATCCTGGCTAACACGGTGAAACCCCGTCTCTACTAAAAATACAACAACTTAGCCGGGTGTGGTGGTGGGCGCATGTAGTCCCAGCTACTTGGGAGGCTGAGGCAGGAGAATGGCGTGAACCCGGGAGGCGGAGCTGGCAGTGAGCTGAGATCATGCCACTGCACTCTAGCCTGGGTGACAAAGCAAGACTCCGTCTCAAAAAAAAAAAAAAAAAAAAAAAAATTAGCCAGTTGTGGTGGTGGGTTCCTATAGTCCCAGCTACTCAGGAGGCTAAAGCAGGAGAATCGCTTGAACCAGGGAGGTGGAGGTTGCAGTGAGCCAAGACTGCACCATTGCACTCCAGCCTGGGCAACAGACTGAAACACCATCTCAAAAAAAAAGTAAGAAACAGTATAGTGGTGGCATATACCTGTAATGTTAGCGCTTTGGGAGGCCAATGCAGGTAGATCGCTTGAGCCCAGGAGTGTGAGGCTGCATTGAGCTATGACCACGAGACTACACTACAGCCTGGGCAACAGAGCAAGACTTGATCTCAATTAAAAAAAAAAAAAAAAAAAAAAAATTTAAGTAGTATCTTTAAAAGTAAATACGAACAGACAAAGATGTAATTTTAAAGCCTAGAGATATGGCTCCCAAGCTTTTTGGTCCTTGTACCACTCTATACTCTTAAAAATTGAGTTATATCTATCAACATATACCATGTTAAAAATTAAATCTTAGCAACCTTTAAAATACACATTAATTCACTTAGGAAATATTAAAAACTCAGAGCATGTTAACATAGATAACATTTTCGATGGCTCGCCTGTAATCCTAGTACTTTGGGAGGCTGAGGTGGGTGGATCATGAGTTCAGGAGTTCGAGACCAACCTGGCCAACATAGTGAAACCCCATCTCTACTAAAAATACAAAAATTAGCTGGGAATGGTGGTGCACACCTGTAGTCCCAGCTACTCAGGAGGCTGAAGCAGGAGAATCGCTTGAACCTGGGAGGCGGAGGAGGTTGTGGTGAGCCAAGATCACACCCCTGCACTCCAGCCTGGGCAACAGAGCGAGACTCCGTTTTTATATATATATAAAAAATATATATAGAAAATATATATATATATAAATAAATTTAAAAAGCCACAATTTCCAAAAGAATTAAAAACTAGCTTAGTTGAGAATAGCAGCACTGTTTTACATTTTTGCAAATTTCATTGATAGGTGGGCTAAGTTTCATTGAAGAGATGGGATCTCTGGGATTCTGGAGGTGCTGGGGTCCACACTTTGAAAACAGCTACCTTTGAGTGACCATTAAAGGGTAAGAAGGAGAAAAGGAGAGAAAGAGAGAAAGGGAGAGAAAGAGAGAACTACTAAGTCAAAAGAGAACATGGTATTTTCTAAGTAATTCAAAAGAAAAGGAAAAAAAAAGACAAATGGAACATATATAGCAAAACACGGTAGACTTAAACCCAACAATACTGATAATTATATATACTCCAATTAAATAGCACAGAATGGCCGGGCACGGTGGCTCACATCTGGAATCCCAGAACTTTGGGAGGCTGAAGCCAGGAGTTTGAGAGTAGCCTGGGCAACACAGCAAGACTCAGCCTCTACAAAAAATAAAAAACAGCCAGGCATGGTGGTGCACACCTACAGTCCAGCTACTAAGGAGGCTGAGGAGGGAGGATGAGCTATGATCACAGACTGCACTCAAACCTAGGCAACAGAGTGAGACTCTCTCCTCCCCCCAAAAATCAATTTTAATAATACATTTTTTAATTTAAAAAATTAAAAGGTTGGCCGGGCGCGGTGGCTCAAGCCTGTAATCCCAGCACTTTGGGAGGCCGAGACGGGCGGATCACGAGGTCAGGAGATCGAGACCATCCTGGCTAACACGGTGAAACCCCATCTCTACTAAGAAATACAAAAAACTAGCTGGGCGAGGTGGCGGGCACCTGTAGTCCCAGCTACTTGGGAGGCTGAGGCAGGAGAATGGCAAAAACCTGGGAGGCGGAGCTTGCAGTGAGCTGAGATCCGGCCACTGCACTCCAGCCCGGGCGACAGAGCAAGACTCCCTCTCAAAAAAAAAAAAAAAAAAAAATCAAAAATAAAGGTTGGGTGCAGTGCACGCCTGTAATCCCAGCACTTTGGGTGGCCAAGGTGGGCAGGTCGCTTGAGGCCAGAAGTTCAGGACCAGCCTGGGCAACATGGTGAAACCCTGTCTCTGCAAAAATACCTGTCTCTACAAAAATACAAAAATTAGCCAGGCATGGTGGCATGCACTTGTAGTCCCAGCTACTCAGGAGGCTGAGGCGGGAGAATTGTTTGAACCCGGGAGGCGGAGGTTGCAGTGAGTCAAGAGTGTACCACTGTACTCCAGCCTGAGTGACAGAGCGAGGCTCCATCTCCAAAAAAAAAAAAACACACACACACACAAAGCACAGACTCTTAGGCTACACACTCAATTTAAAACATAAAGACAGTTGTTAAACACTAAACACAGGGAACTGGAGTGACTACACTGTCAGAAAAATGAGGCTTTTGGACAAGAATATTGCTAGAGATCAAGATGGACATTTCTTAATGATAAAAAGAGTCAATTCATCAAGCAGAATTAACATTCCTAAATGCCTATGAACTTACTAATAGATTCAAAATTCATGAAGCAAAAAATTGAAAGGATATGGGAGGCCAAGGCAAGAGGATTGCTTTAGCCCCGTTCAAAGACCAACCTGGGCAACATAGGGAAACCACCATCTTAATTAAAAATAAAAAGTTAGAAGGATAAAAAGAAAGCATGGGCGTGGTGGCTCACGCCTGTAATCCCAGCACTTTGGGAGGCCGAGATGGGCGGATCACGAGGTCAGGAGATCGAGACCATCCTGGCTAACACGGTGAAACCTGGTCTCTACTGAAATACAAAAAAAATTAGCCGGGCGTGGTGGAGGGCGCTGGTAGTCCCAGCTACTCGGGAGGCTGAGGCAGGAGAATGGCGTGAACCCGGGAGGCGGAGCTTGCAGTGAGCTACCAGCCTGGGCGACAGAGCCTCCATCTCCAACAAAACAACAAAAACAACAAGTCTTGTTTCGATTCCAAGCAGCAAAAAATGTGCTCGAGACGATGCTAGTACACACGTAAAAAAATCCAAGTTTTCCGTGAATTACAAATCCACAAATTATACAGCAACTTTTCTAAGTGAATTCAAAAGAGCACAGGCTACATCACTGCAGGGCAAAAAGTCTTTCAACAAGGCGTTAATATGTAAAGCACAACCTTAATCAGAGCATTTCCTTCTCTCCATAAACTTTGGGTGAGCCTTGACCACTCAATCCCTCGAGTTCCCAAAGGGTGGCCCTTGGCGGGTTTTTTCCAAAGTGGGGTCGGAGGTCTGAACACCTGAGGTGAAATTCAAGTTCACGAGCAAGTCAACTCAATTTCAGAGCTCCCAACTTCCCCACATCGGTAAAATGAAGCCTAGCAAAGCCTACAAAAGACTAGGGGTTACTAGACTGCTTTAGAAAGGCGACACTCGGCTCGGTGGCTGACGCCTGTAATCCCAGCACAATGGGAGGCCGAGGCGGGCGGAGCACGAGGTCTGGAGTTCGAGACCATCCCGGCCAACACGGTGAAACCCCGTTTCTACTAAAAATACAAAAAATGAGCCGGGCATGGTGGCATGCGCCTGTAGTCCCGGATACTCGGGAGGCTGAGGCAGGAGAATTGCTTGAACCCGGGAGGCGGAGGTTGCAGTTGGCCCAGATTGAGACACTGCACTCCACAACAGAGCGAGACTCCATCTCAAAAAAAAAAAAAAAGAAAGAAAAGAAAGGCGACATTTGGCACACAGTAGGCGCTAAACACACATTCTTTGGGTTTGCATTTTGTTCAGAACTAAGAGTAACAGGCATTCGGCAAAAGCTGGGAATCGGACGGGGACGGGACCCCGGCGGGGACGGACGCGCGGTGAACTGAAAGAATCTGACTTCGGGTTCCAGTTCCCCCAGCCGGACTAACCTACTCTCCCGGCCCCGGGCCCAAAGGCCTCAGGTGGTAGCGGTCAAAGGGTCACCGCCTCCGCGGGGCGCCGCGTCCACAACACGCGTGGGGAAACGGTCAAGGTTTGGGGCGTTTGGGTTCACGACGGCAAAAACACCGTCCACTACGGGCCAAGCCGAGTGCCATGCCCTGCACCTACGTCTAAGCTCACAGCACCCTGCACTGGGGCGAGGAATGGTATGAGGCTCGCCCGGGTCTCTGGACTGGGCTCTCGCCGCGCCGCCTTAGGGCGCAAAGTCCACGCGCCTCGCCCCGCGCAGAAACGTCCCCCGCCCCGCGGCGCCCAGGCCGCCTCCCCAGCAACGCAACTCCGCCGCTACGCCGGCGCCAGGAAAGGGCTCGGCATTTAGACCGCAGCCCCGGGCGGGCCACACTCCCCAGCAAGTGCCTCGGCAGCGTCCCAGGAGACTCGCCGTGCTTGCCGGGGTTGGACGTGGCGCCAGGTCCGCGTAGCAGCCCGCACCCCGGTGCTCACCTGTACCACGCAGCAGCCCAGGGCATCCTTCTGAGCGTCGGGAGGGACGATGTTCCGGGGCGTGTGGCCCGGGTGCAAGAAATGAACCATGGCGACCCCGCCGGCGGGGTGTCAACCAGAGAGCGGGCGTCGAGCCGGGGCCCGGATCCCGCGAGAACCAGGCGGGCGGCTGCCAGGACGCGCCCACCACGCCTGCGAGGGACACAGAGCTAGCGCCGCACCCGGCCGGCGGGCTTTTGAAATGCCCGGCGAGGCGACGCGCACGCGGGGGTCGGCCAGCCGCAGACCCCACCCCCCGGGCGGCCTCCTAGCCCCACCCGCCCCCCGACACGCCGCCGCCTGGGCCAACCGTCCCCCTCCCGCCTTCCCAGCCTCCCCAGACCAACCTGCCATGGCCCAGCTGCTCACCCACTCCTCCCCAGCCCCGCGCCTCAGGGCTTGAGAGGACATTCTCCGAGGACCGGCTGTGTAGGTTTGGGGAATACTATATATATACACACACACACGTATATGCATACATATATATTCATTATTTCTATATATATATATATTTTTTTTTACAGCTTTCATACATTAAAATATGTATTTCAAAGACTGTGCCCCTAAAAATCTGGCAACAGCACCTCTCTAACAGTCCTCTCTGTTTCAACTCCTAGAGTCTCTGGATAAATCAAATATAAAACGAATACAAAATATTGGCAAGTATCTACCAAAAAAAGCTATTTAGCTTTCTTGTTACCTAAAAAGTACCTGAGAAGACCCTTATAACCTCCTCCAAGAAAGAAACCCTGAGAGACCCTTCTAACTTTCTCCAAGAAAGAAACTCCACAAGTTAGTACACATTAGCTAATTTCAGAGAAAACAATACCTGGAAAAGGAAAGTTCTCAAGAGCATGAGCCTTAGAGTTTGAATCCTGAATTAGAATGCCTGCTCAGCCATCTACTGTTGGAGAACCTGGAGCAAGATTCTTGATGCCTTTGAAGCTCAACTTCCTCATCAGTAAATTGGAATGAGAATGCTTTATCTCACACGGTTAATGTAAGGATTAAATAATGTATGTAAAACATATCACAATGCTTGGCACATAGCAAGTCCTTGATAAGTGGCTTGAATTCAGATGTTAAAAATTATTTTTAAGTACTTTGCCTAAAACTTTTCTTTCACATTTATTCTTTTTTTTTTTTTTGTATTTTTAACAGAAACGGGGTTTCACGGTGTTAGCCAGGATGGTCTCGATCTCCTGACCTCCTGATCCGCCCGCCTTGGCCTCCCAAAGCGCTGGGATTACAGGCATGAGCCACCGCGCCCACCTATTCTTTTATTTAATACACTTACTTACAAGAAGAAGAAAAAATCCTGTGTTGTAGGTATCATCCCCATTTTACTCACAGGGAAGCTGAAGAACGGACAGGTTAAATAGACAACACGTTTTTTAGCCAGCTGATGAGTGGCCAACCTGGGAGACAAAATTGAGTTTCCTCACTGCAAGTCTGATCAATATGCATTTTTGTTTGTTTGTTTGTTTAGATGGAGTCTCACTCTGTTGCCCAGGCTGGAGTCAAGTGGCGCAATCTCAGCCCACTGCAACCTCCACCTCCTGGGTTCAAGTGATTCTCCTGCCTCAGCCTCCCAAGTAGCGGGGACTCCAGGCGTGCACCACCACGCCCCGCTAATTTTTGTATTTTTAGTAGAGGCGGCGTTTCACCATGTTGGCCAGGATGGTCCTCATGATCCGCTGGCCTCGGCCTCCCAAAATGTTGGGATTACAGGCGTGAGCCACCGTGCCCCGCCAATATGCTTTTGTTAACGGTGGAGGGTGTTTATGTTCTTGGTGTCTTGAACAAAGAATTGGACAAAATGCACAAACAAGGAAGGAATGAAGGAATTTATTGAAAATGAAAGTACACTCCATAATGCCACAATGTGGGAGTGGGCCTGAGCATTGGGGCTCAAAGGCCCCGTTACAGAATTTTTGGGAGTTTAAATACCCTCTACTTCCGGTATGCCCTATGTAAATGAAGAGGATGAAGGAAAGTTACAAAGTCATTTCCTTGGGGTGTGCCCAATGGAGAGGATATTTCTTTTACAGCTGAAGTGTGAATTTCAGCAATTTTAACTTTAATATAAAACCTGGTAAGTTATAAGGTTTGACTATTTCCAGCATAGCTAGAAGTGTGGCCAACTCCACATGTCCCAGGCCTTACCGAGCTAGAAAGCAGGCAAGTTAAACAGTTTTCAAAAGCCAAGGAAGCACTTTATGACCTTAAAGCATTTAGTAAACCTAATATTTGAACATAATTTTAACCACGTTTACATTTTGAAGACATTTGTATTTTATCAGTAATCTTTAAGCGCATCTTTATTTCCCAAAGATTACCCAAGTCACATGAACTAAAGGCATTGTTTTTCACTTTGCTGACAAAATATTTTATTTAAGCTCTTATTATTAAACCAATTAATTTAAAACCTAACACATGAGGCCAGGTATGGTGGCTTACGCCTGTAATCCCAGCACTGTGGGAGGCCAAGATGGGTGGATCACCTGAAGTCAGGAGTTCGAGACCAGCCTGGCCAACATGGTGAAACCCAATCTCTATTAAAAATACAAAAAAAAAAAAAAAAAAAATTACCTGGGCATTGTGGTGCATCCCTGTAATCCCAGCTATTTGGGAAGCTGCGCCAGGAGATTTGCTTGAACCCAGGAGGCAGAGGTTGCAGTGAGCTGAGATTGCACCATTGCACTCCAGTCTTATGACAAAGCGAGATTTTGTTGGAAAAAATAAAAATAAGTAAATAAAAGTGGCCAGGTGCAGTGGCTCACACCTGTAATCCCCACATTTTTGGAGGCCAAGGCGAGCAGATCACCTGAGGTCGGGGCTTGAGACCAGCCTGACCAACACGGAGAAACCCCGTCTCTACTAAAAAAATAAAAATGAGCTGGGTATGGTGGCGTGCACCTGTAGTCCCAGCTACTCGGGAGGCTGAGGCTGGAGAATCCCTTGAACACGGGAGGCAGAGGTTGCAGTGAGTCGAGATGACACCAGTGCATTCCAGCCTGGCGACAGAGTGAGACTCCCTTTATTAAAAAATAAATAAAAATTGGCCGGGCACGGTGGCTCAAGCCTGTAATCCCAGCACTTTGGGAGGCCGAGACGGGCGGATCACGAGGTCAGGAGATCGAGACCATCCTGGCTAACACGGTGAAACCCCATCTCTACTAAAAAAATACAAAAAACTAGCCGGGCGAGGTGGTGGGCGCCTGTAGTCCCAGCTACTCGGGAGGCTGAGGCAGGAGAATGGCGTGAACCTGGGAGGTGGAGCTTGCAGTGAGCTGAGATCCGGCCACTGCACTCCAGCCTGGGCGACAGAGCGAGACTCCGTCTCAAAAAAAAAAATAAAATAAAAAATAAAATAAAATAAAATAAAATAAAAATTTTAAAATGGGCTTTGCTGTTTCTGCCATGGGCACAAGCAGTGGCCTGATTGTCAGTCTTCTCCCGGCATTTTTGAGGCCAAGAGCCAAGTGCTGCATGTGGGCAAATAACTTACAGAACAGTTTCGCTTTTAAAATTATTGTTGTTGGCCAGGTAGGGTGGCTCACTCCTGTAATCCCAGCACTGTGGGAGGCCAAGGTGGATGGATCACCTGAGGTCAGGAGTTCCCGACCAGCCTGGCCAACATGATGAAACCCTGTCTCTACTAAAAATACAAACATTAGCCAAGCATGGTGGCAGGTGCCTGTAATCCCAGCTACTTGGGAGGCTAAGGCAAGAGAATAACTTGAACCTGGGAGGTGGAGGTTACAGTGAGCCGAGATCGTGCCATTGCACTCCAGCTTGGGCGACAAAAGGGAAACTCTGTCTCAAAAAATAAATAAATAAATAAAATCGGCTGGGCGCAGTGGCTCATGCCTGTAATCCCAGCACTTTGGGAGGCCGAGGTGGGTGGATCACCTGAGGTCAGGAGTTCAAAACCAGCCTGGCCAACATGGTGAAACTCCATCTCTACTAAAAATACAAAATTACCCAGGCTTGGTGGCAGATGCCTGTAATCCTAGCTACTCAGGAGGCTGAGGCAGGAGAATCTCTTAAACGTGGGAGGCAGAGGTTGCAGTGAGCCGAGATTGCGCCATTGCACTCCAGCCTGGGCAAAAGATCAAGACTCTGTCTCAAACAAAAATAAAAAATAAATAACAATAAATTTTAAAAATGAAATTATTGTTGTTATTATTTGGAGCAGAGGACAGTCGATCTAGTGCACCCTGTCCTGTGTCTTTTGATACTCTATGTTTAAGGAAAAAAACCAATTATGTGTTTTATTTTATGCATCAGTTTTGGAGGGCTTCCGGCTATCCCCTTTTCCTCATATTCTACTGAGATTATACAAAGCAGCATGTTGCTAGGTGCGGCGGCTCATGCCTGTAATCCTAGCCCTTAGGGCGACAGAGACAGGAGGACAGCTCGAGCCCAGGAGTACAAGACCTGCCTGGGCAATATAGTGAGACCCCATTCTCCACAAAAAGGAAAAAATAAAAATAAAAAAAACAAAGCAGCATGTTTTCCACAGAGTAGAAAATCCAATGGCAAGATACTATGTAGGTTTGGGCTGGGTGCAGTGGTTCAAGCTTGTAATTAATCTCATTGGCAGGCTAAAGTGGGAGGAGTGCTTGAGTCCAGGAGTTTGATGCCAGCCTGGGCAACGTAGTGAGACCCCCCTCCCACATCTTTATTTTTATTTATTTTTTTATTTTTTTTTGAGAGGGAGTCTCACTGTGTCACCAGACTGGAGTGCAGTGGCGCGATCTCGGCTCACTGAAGCCTCCGCCTCCTGGGTTCAAACGATTCTCCTGCCTCAGCCTCCAGAATAGCTGGGATTACAGGCATGCGCAACCATGCCCCCATGCCCAGCTAATTTTGTTTTGTTTTGTTTTTTGACAGAATTTTGCTTTTGTTGCCCATGCTAGAGAGCAATGGCGCGATCTCGGCTCACTGCAACCTCCGCCTCTTAGGTTCAAGCGATTCTCCTGCCTCAGCCTCTCGAGTAGCTGGGATTACAGGCATCTGCCACCACGCCCAGCTAATTTTGTATTTTTGGTAGAGACAGGGTTTCTCCATGCTGGTCAGGCTGGTCTCCAACTC